ACAGATTAAAAGTCAAAATTTATTTTAATTCAGCTTGAGAGATGTTACGCATTTTACGAACAACGTTCCATGAACGTTAGTGCTCACAGATATTTAACGTCAATTAGCAGAGAGTAATAAATAGTCAATTTTTTCCATTTTATATATAGAAACTCCTATAGAAACTCTCCTCTTCGGATTTTTCACGAGAGGCAGATCGAGGAAATTCCCGTAGATCCCCTGATTCTCCCCGTGAGCTCCCGTTCGCGTCCAGTCGCTTCCTCTTTCTAAATAAATCGCCCACCCTTTTGCCGAAAATATATTTCCCGTAGGCAGCTACCGTCGTTTGTTACTTCGAGGGCACGATTGAAACACAAAGTTTCACATTGGTCGAGGGGTGGTGATATGGCCCGAGGTAACTGGCCAGGAAAAGAGACGGTAGCGGGAGGGGATGTGTAGGGGATTACATTTCGCATTCATGGAATTCCATCGAGGCAGCGTAAATCAAAAGTTCGAGGATATATATATAAGCGCGGTGACGGGGCACGAGATGAACAGGGGAACAGAACGGAACAGAGCGCAGCGAAAATGCACGAGTGGAATTGAGACGGAAGAAAGCTCTGCGATTGTTTCTCCCTTCGCTTTGCTTGCTTACGCATCATCGCGTAATGCCTCGATCTTGTTTTCTCGGTACACACATCGTAATATCGTGACCGAGACAATCGGAGATTATGGAAAGGAAGATTATGGAAGAAAAAAATCGCGAATAGTGACAATGATGACGTGATAGACATCCAGACATCGTGTCTCTGTCGTGTTTTTTAAGCATAGCGATGCTATAACAACGATGAACGTATTATTTCAAACGTGGAATCAAATAGGAGTTTTATTCGTTTCTCCGAGATTGAAGGTCTTAATTTTGAAGGTCGAAAGAGTTACTTAACGCGTTAGTTAGTTAACCTACCACGAATATTAATTGACGCGAGAATTTTTTGTTTAGCTTTTAATTGTGCTGAGAAATTTTTCTGAGTGTTTATTCGTTAGAATTATTTGTTGATAAAATAAAATTGTTTTCTTATTATTAATCGTAACGAGAAACGATGTTCTTTTTCTCAAGATAGGCAAAAAGAACGTCTCTTACGTAGGATAATCTTTCGCATTCGATTAACATTTATATATTTTTATATATTTTAAAATTTCTTTATTATAAAATTTGCTTTATATATTTTAAGTTTATATTATGCAAGTCCAAAGTTTTTACTCTTCGATAAAGAAAGATACTCTTCGAAAGATACGAGAGAAGATTTACATCTAGTTAAGTTAAATCTTATGTTTAAATTCTTCTCAAGTCCAAGTATACCAAAAGCATATTATGAAAAATGTGTCAGTGGAGATTAGAAAAAAATATCGTTTTTAAGATATGACAAAACCTACAAAAAATTACATGATTAGTTATTTATTCTTTGAATGATCATTTATTAGCATTAAAATGATATATATACATGTGATATTTTATGATTTTACATACTTTTTATGTTATTTTAGTATATTAAACTTTTCGATTTTCGATTTTTAATTTGTACTAGATTTCGAGATAGGATTCTAGTTGTAATTTTATATAAATGTATTTTGGCACGTACCTACACGAAAGTATGTTGGAATATATTAATATATCTAAAATAATTGTATTTGAAAAGTCAAGAAATAGTATATATATATATATATATATATATATATATATACATATATATACATACACATACACACATTTCTTGACTTTTCAAATATTTTTAATATTACGCAATCAGCAAAATTGTAAAAATAATACTCATCCAAATTATTTATATTATTTAAATTTTAATTGAATGCAAATACAATGATAGCTTTTTTAAGCAAAGATTTTTAAATGATATTCAATTTTTTGTGATTTTTTTGTGATTTTAAATGATTCAAATTAAATATATTTTTATTAAAGCGAAGTAATTGCTAAGATCTAAGTTGATCGTTACAATAGTAACTCATAATTATAACTTGTAATAATTAATAAAACAAATGGTTGATCTCATGCTTCAAGATAATTTAACATTAGTAAATAACCAGCTTTTTTAATCATTCATACGTTTAATTGATTTGAAGTCCAAACGAAGAGAATTCAATTTAATTAATACCAGTATAATCAGCGTCGGTTAATTATATCTTGCTGCACTTCTCCGAATAAAGTGCACTCCACGTTTTCATTTCGTCGACGATGAATTATATGCTAGAACTTTCCCAGGCGATTAATTAAACACTGCCTTGCGATATTAATTTTCAATGAATTTTTAATTACACGTTGTAATACCGGCAACTCGTCATGCAAAAGTAGATAACATTATTCTCCAGCATCCAATTCGTCAAGCTTTATACGCTCTACAGCTCTTCATTTCAGCGACGATTTTCGTTTCTATTTTCAAAAAAAAACTTTTTTACGTTTTCTCTGTTGCTGCACTACGATCTTGTTTCGACTGTTGGATTTAGGTCTGACGGAAGTATCGTCGAGAGGAAGAGGTAATGGTTTATCCTGAACATCCAAAGTAGACACGATAAAGTTCAAATGCCACCTGACGAAAGTTTCGAGCTTCTCACAGACAGCTTCGCTCGGGCGGCTGGTCTCCCGATACAGAGGAGTGGATTAAAGGTGGATCGGCATGTGTTCGGCATTACTATCCGCCACGCCTTTCTGCTTTTCCAGTTACACGATTTGTTCCCTCGCTGAATATCCCACCGATGTCTCGCCGAATCAAATCTCGATTTAATTGAAAATATTTTTCTCCGAGAATGATCTGCTATTAAGCGATCGGTAAATAAATGGTCTATCGATCGATTCAAATAAGTCGTAATTAGGTTTTTACTAATTAAATTAGATTTTACTTTACTTTATTTGCCAGATGTTTAATTTTGAATATCTTCAAAGATTTTGTATTTTTCCTGTAATGTATTATAAGAACGTTTTCGTTGAAACTTATTTATATCTGTAAAGTGTGAAAATGAATTAAATTATGAAAAGTAAAAAATATATTTATTTTTTTAATTAATATTATTATTATCTAGAAAAACTGCTTTATTTAAGAAAGAATTTAATTTAACCATTATTAAATTCCAATTTTTTTTCTCGCCATACATCTTTGTTTCGTCATTGATTGTTTTCTTTCACTCTTCTCTCTCTTTCATTCTCTCTCTCACACACAATATGTGTGCAAAATATGAAATTTAAGCACAGATCGTCAATGATCGTACGATTATTTATGCTGTGCTGTGAGCATGCATAAACCTCACAATTAATTCGATACGAGCTGAATTTCCGTTTCCGCAAAACTGGGCCGGTCGACAATTGCTGTGACCACAACATCACGTCGAAAATTACCGTTGAATTACGAAACGATTAATATCGACGCGTAACGCGGTTCATAATGCGGAAGTCCTTTCTCTCTTTTGACGAAGATTCCGCTCATCCTCTTCCTCCCTCCCCCTCCGCCGCCCCCGACTCCCTCCCATCCGCCGTAAGGCAAGGCGGATTCGACCACAATAGTGTCGGTACGTTCTCCTTCGAGAATTTGTGGTCGTGCGCAAACGCGTAATTAGTTTAAACCAAGTAACGTGGTAATTAAGTCGGTTTAACTCCTTTATCACAAGATGAAGCGGACGCCACTGTTTATGTTGGCTGGTATCTCGGTTATCCCTCGGTTGTTCCTGGTTTATCCGCCCCGCGTCATATTACGCGTCTTGACTTACAAGCGTCAGTCTTGCTCGAAAAACTTTTGTTAAATTTAAACGCACAAGCTTCAAAGCGAATCTTTTTTTCTCCACTTTTATTCGGAATGTAGGTCGATATGTAAGTCCCGAGACGAATCAATGCAATAAATAAACTATGTGAGGGGAAATGTTTCTTCTCTTATCACGATGGACTTTCTTCAATCATCAATATATTTGGAGATGTTTGAGAAACACGGAACACTCGGGCACAGTACTTGTAAAGTGTACAATAAAATCCAAAATGTTTTTCCGAATGTTATATTCTCGAAGACGTTCCTGTAGAACTCTTCCAGAACTCTTCAAATAAAACGTCGGTCATTTTCTCTCGGTAGAAATTCGGTAGATTTACCACACCGACGATGAGATTTTCGCGAGGAAATCGGAAGATTTTCTCGCAGTATCGGAATTAACGGGGAACAAAAGACGAAGCGAGTGCACGAGTGCACGAGTGCACGAGTGCTACGAAAGCACGTTGGGAATAATACGTACAATGGCGCGCTTAGACGGCAGCAGGCAAGCAATTCTGGAGATTAAACCCGGCCATATCTGTAATTGACTCCCCGGGCACATCCTTGGCTTTTCATTATTCAACCTCGCGCTGAAGGAGTGAGCAAACCCGAGACTTTTCCAGCCTCTCGTCGCGACTCCCAAGAGCACCGTTCTGCCGATTAGTACTCTCCTCCTCTTGAAGCGGTGCCTTTGATCCCATCTTCCAAGAGACTACCGCGGTGCGTCTTCGGACTTTCATCGTCCTTTAATCGTAATACAACCCTAATTCCATCTCCTCCTTTAATATCCACCGAAAATCACCGAACAACAGCTCTCCTTTCGCGTTACACACGGATAATCGACAATGTTGTTAAACGACGTGTCATTACGATAGCTTAACCGGGGCTGACCAGATTCCGCGCAAAGCGTT